CACAGAGACAGACACAGAGACAGAGACAGACACAGAGACAGACACAGAGACAGACCCAGACAGACGCAGACAGACGCAGACAGACACAGACAGACACAGACAGACACAGACAGACACACACAGACGCAGACAGACGCGGCTCGCTTTGGCTGATCTTTGACTTTGGCTTGCTCGCCTTCTTGGGCTTGGTGGTTAAAAGCGGCAGGAAATGGCCAGCCGCATCAGGAAGCTCGAGAAGATCACCTGGCGATAGGGATCCAGGCCAAGTCCAAGAGTTCAGCCTGCCCCACTTCTCAATCATCTGAAGCACGGGCATGCCGCATGCCGCAATCAATGGCACTGGGTAGGCGTTGCCCAGCGCGTGCAACAAGTCACTGTTGCAAAGATGCAGAGCCAAGCTCGGGTGTACTCCTTGCAGAGCACATCGTTCCTGCGGAAGAATCCATCTGAAGTAAGCCCTCTGTGGATCTGGCAGCTGCAAGTCATCGGTGCTAATGACAAAAAGATACTTCAACTGTGTCTTCAAGCAGGGACTCATACCAACTGTCATGGATGGCGAGTACTTCTTGCCACAGGCTCTGTCCAGCTCACATACGACCAAGGTGCTCGGAGTCACATCACCGGCTTCGATCTTGTCTCGGATTAACTTCTCACAGTTGCTCAAGTTGCTCCTCATGATTGAGGTCAGGCTCTCACGAGGTGTGCATGGAAGGTTGGGACACCGTCCCAAACGGATCCATGTGTCGAGGAGGCTTCCCCATGGTGCCGAGGATCTCCTTTCCTTGATTGTGACCGAAGTCTTTTCTGAAGTTGTCAATGACAAAACAATATACATAGGACTTCCATGGAAACCTCATGAAACCTGCCACAACACAAACAAAAACTAGGTTGGGCCAAAACAGAGATTCGAACGCCCTGCAAAAAGACCCGTCGTCTCGACTGAGGCAGTTTGTAGTCTGCAGCATTCAAAAGATCCACCCGCCATGCCATCTCCGGAGCATTCTCCTCGAGGAACCTGATGGCAATGTCCATAAACGACTCTGCACAGCCAGCCATCTTGTGAAACACTCCTTGAACGTTTTCAAGAAGCGCCCAAAGCAGTCCACCGTGCCTCGTGAGATAGATTGTCCACAAGAGCACTGCAAGAAACACCCTCGTTCGGACATCTTCCCCTGGACACTTCTTGCCGTTGCTGGCCCAAGGAGGAAAAGGCGGGCCGGCCATCAAGACATCCACAGGCACGGTAAGATCTTCCAGCTTGATCTGGGTAATGTCACCACTCTCTCCCAATTTGATGCCTTCCAGGCTACCCTCCAAAGCTATCAGCGCCTCGGACAAGTTATAGACAAAATGTCACAGCTGTTGGTCAACTTGTAGCGGACACCCACCTCCCGCAGAAAGCGACCACCATTGTTGATCCCAATGCATGGGGCACACACTATCAACGGTCGCCCAAGCTCGCAGCGACCCAACCCTTCCATCCATTCACATGGCACATGGAGACCTTCAATGTCACTAGGACCAAATCTTGTCCCACCTTTTGCTGACGCAGACAGACGCAGACAGACGCAGACAGACGCAGACAGACGCAGACAGACACAGACAGACACAGACAGAGAGACAGACAAAGACAGACAGACAGACAGACAGACAGACAGGAGTATATACTTTTTTTGTCGTTGCCAGTGCCTGTGCCAGTGCTGGCCCGACCCCGCTGCACGCTGCGATCCCAGATCGCAGACATGCGGTTCCTCTCATGCAAGCACCGCTGCACCTGTTGGATTTGACGGTCAGGGGGGATTTAGAAAATGCCGCCAGATTTGTGGCAAACAAGCCTTCGCCAAGCCATCCGCGTCGCTGTCGGCAGACGGTGGTGTAGGGGGCAGCGTGATGCATCTTTTCCGCCTGTCTTCACGACGCTTAGCGTTGCTCCCTTGCACCATGGCACGTGCAGACAGCAGATGTTCAAAGAAAACAACACAGCAAGTGAGACTGCTGTTCTTATAGAGCTTGTGCAATTTTCTGGTCAATGCGCGTGTATTCTCCCTACGGAAGCCATGGAGGAATTTGTGTGCATGCAGTAGCCGAACACAATCATTTGTCCATCTCCTCCCGTTTCTACATAGCTTGTCGTCAACTTGTGTGTTTCGAGGTACAAGTTCCACGTTGAAGCTAGCTGTGCGGTTCCTTACCTTGGGACATGCGGTAACCATACGAAGCAGGATGCAGTTGCCATTGTATTCAAGACATTCCTGCCCTGAAAGGTTGTTCAAGAACGTCTCTATTGCCACAGATTGGCCCTGACGGAACCTCTGTGCCCATATTCAAAAATGCTCTGTGGTCAGATCATGCATGCTGTATAGCCAGACACGGCAGGAGCAGGCGCTTCCACACAGGACAATCCTGCCCTGACCGGGGTTTTGCGAGGACGATGCGTCGTCAAGGCTGTAACCCATGATCTGAGATCCGGACTAAAGCTGGCGCTGCCAGAGAACGTGGCAAATGCCTGCGCGATTCTGTCTCGAGAAGGTCAAAGGTTCTTAGCCTGACGGAATTTCTGTGTACATCTTGGAGCGTGCTCTGGTCCCTAATCGGTTCTCGAAGAACTAGTGGAGGACGGCAAGGTGAGTTCCAGACCCAGTTTTGGAATGGTAGGCCACTGCCTGCAAGCCAACGAGGCTGGCGCTTTGAAGCATCCGTGCTACGTCTCGACGCAAGACATTCCGTTTTGAAGGAACGCGTGACTGCCATCGATTGTGAGCCCCGACAAGACATCCCTACCCTGCAGCGGGTTTAACTCGACGATACCGTGTCGGCAAGGCTACAGCCCACAATCTGAGGTCAAGAACTGCTAAGCTGGCACGGGGAGGGGCGCCGCCTCAGAAAAACATGAGTAAGCTCCAGAAGGGCACGATCACGTCTGTTGTTTCTATATAGGCCCAACAACGTCTTTTCCCGACAAGACATTCCTGCCCTGACCGGGGTTTTGCAAGGACGATGTGTCGTCAAGGCTGTATAAGCTGGGACTGCAAGAGGTGCCTTGGACGTGGCAAACCCCTGCGCTAAACTGTCTGTTGCCCAAGAGAAGGTCAACAGTTCTTACCCTGACGCAATTTCTGTCTACATCTTGGAGCATGCTCTGGTCCCTAAGAACTAGTGGAGCGCGGCAAGGTGAGTTCCAGACCCAGTTTCGGAATGGTAGGCCACTGCCTGCAAGCCAACGAGGCAGGCGCTTTGAAGCATCCATATCTATATCTATATCTATATCTATCTTTATCTCTATCTCTATCTCTATCTATCTATCTATCTGTCTATCTAATCCATCTAATCTATCTATCTATCTGTCTATCTATCTATCTATCTATCTAGTTAATCTAATCTAATCTAATCTGATCTAATCTACACTAATCTAATCTAACCTGATCTAGTCTACACTAGTCTAATCTAATCTAATCTAATCATCTATCGATCGATCGATCGATCTATCTATCTATCTATCTATCTATCTCTCTCTGTCTATCTATCTATCTATCTATCTATCTATCTATCTATCTATCTATCT